GGCTCCCTACGGAGTAACACAAGGCTCCCTACGGAGTAACACAAGGCTCCCTACGGAGTAACACAAGGCTCCCTACGGAGTAACACAAGGCTCCCTACGGAGTAACACAAGGCTCCCTACGGAGTAACACATGGCTCCCTACGGAGTAACACAAGGCTCCCTACGGAGTAACACAAGGCTCCCTATGGAGTAAGCTGCACAAGTAGCATTACCAATCAGTGTGTAGACCGGTCCTAGGACTACTGCATACTACTTGTGCAGCTTACTCCATCAGTGGCCACATCTTCCAAGTAGTATGTAATAGCAATCAGTTATTGAACGGATTGATACAGCATACTCCTTGTGTAGCCTACTCCATAGGGAGCCATGTGTTCCAAGCAGCATGTAGGAGCAGTCAGCTGATCACTACAAGATGTTACAGCACACTACTTGTGTAGCTTACACTCTAAAGCCCCATTCACACTGAGCGACATGAAAGTCACGCGATTTTGAGCAATATTGCACGACGCGCGATATTGAGCGACTTGTCGCGCGACTTTTTCCTATTGGGCTGTATGAAATCAGGAGCAATATCACTCGAAAAAAGGGTCATGTAGGAGCGACAAGCTACCAGCGACGAGCTACAAGCGATATTGAGCGGCGAGATGTGAACAGCTCCATTGAAATAAATTGGAGAAGCTACATAGAGCGATATCGGGTGGAAATATGAGCGATATCGCTGCAAAAATCGCGCGATAAATCGCTCAGTTTGAACGGGGCCTAAGGGGTTCCAAGCAGCATGTAGGAGCAATCAGTCATTACCTGATCACTACAAGAGCTTATGGCATGCTACTTGTGTAGCTTACTCCATAGGGAGCCATGTGTTCCAAGCAGCATGTAGGAGCAATCAGTCAGCTGATCACTACAAGAGGTTACGGCATGCTACTTGTGTAGCTTACTCCATAGGGAGCTATGTGTTCCAAGTTGCACGTAGGAGCAGTCAGTCAGCTGATCACTACAAGAGCTTATGGCATGCTACTTGTGCAGCCTACACTATAGGGAGCCATTTCTAAAAAGTAGCAATCAGTCCATTACCTGACCACTACAGGACGACGTTATGACATACTACTTGTGTAGCCTACCCCATAGGGAGCCCTGTGTTCTAAAACATATGTAGTATCAATCAAATGATCACTACAAGATATTACGTCATACTACTTGTTAGGGCTGCAACAACTAATCAACATAATCGATTATAATCGATTATTAGTAGCCTACTCCATAGGGAGCCATGTCTTCCAAGTACCATGTAGTAGCAATAAATCAACTGATCACTACAAAATGTTATGGAATACTACTTGTGTAGCCTACTCCATAGGGAGCCACACTCTCCAAAAGGCATGTAGTTGCAATCGGTCAACTGATAACTACAAGATGCTACTTGTGTAGCTTACTCTATAGGGAGCCGTGTCCAACAAGTAGCATGTAGTAGCAATACCTGATCACTACAAGATGTTACGACATATACACCTTGTGTAGCCTACTCCATAGGGTGACATGAGTTTAAAAGTAGTCAGTCAACAGATCCCTACTACTTGTGTAGCTTACTTTATAGGGAGCCAAGTCTAACAAGTAGCATGTACGGTAGTAGCCATCAGGCTACCACTAAGGCCCAGTTTGGGGGCTGAAACATGTTTGTTTGCTGCTGTTATGCGTTTTTACAAATAAAGTTTTGGATGGACGGATCCCCTTGCCAGTGCAGTTTTGTACCTATTGTAGTAGTCAGTCCATTCCCTTATCACCACAAGATGTTATGACATATACACCTTGTGTAGCCTACTCCATAGGGTGCCATGAGTTTAAAGCAGCAGTCAACTGATCCCTACTACTACCGCATACTACTTGTGTTGCTTACGCCATAAGAAGCCATGTCTTCCGAGAAGCACGTAGTAGCAACCAACAAGATGCTACTGCATACTCCTCGTGTAGCCTACCCCATAGGGAACCATGTCTTCCAAGAAGCATACCGTAGCAATCAATCAACTGATCACAAAATACTATACGTGTAGCCTACTCCATAGGGAGCCATGTGATCCAAGTAGCATGTAGTAGTCAATTGATCCCTACAAGAAGTTGCAGCATACTCCTTGTGTAGCCTACCCCATAGGGAGCCATGTGATCCAAGTAGCATGTAGTAGCAATAAGTCAATTGATCCCTACAAGAAGTTACAGCATACTCCTTGTGTAGTCTACCCCATAGGGAGCCATTTGATCCAAGTAGCATGTAGTAGCAATAAGTCAATTGATCCCTACAAGAAGTTACAGCATACTCCTTGTGTAGTCTACCCCATAGGGAGCCATTTGATCCAAGTAGCATGTAGTAGCAATAAGTCAATTGATCTCTACAAGAAGTTACAGCATACACCTTGTGTAGTCTACTCCATAGGGAGTGATGTGTTCTATCCGTTTAGCAATCAATTTCTCCTCCCAGTGATCAATCATCGGTTTTCAGAGCACAGCCGAGCGGTGTAAATTCTCAGCTGTAACACGGTAACTCTCGTCAAGCGTTTGAATCTCTCGCGGTCCACCGATTACAACTCTGGCCATACACAACCAGATTATAACAAACACTACAATCCGTTGCGTCGCTGGTTTGTGGCAATCATGCCATTAACGCAAATTGGAAGAAATTGCCGTCATAGCAACGGCAATTTCTTCCAAGTCGTGCGACTTTTCAGCAGAGAAGTTTGCGGCGAATCCCGCAAACGCCTCCGACGCTGGTTTTCGGACAAGCACAAAAGACACACAGATAAAGATGAGGGGAGCGAGGGTCAGAGCGGCCGTGTTCGTTTTTGGTGACCCATGAAGCGTCACTTTTGGGTGCTTCCTCCTCAGAGGTTTGGGAAGCTGCAATGAGGGTAAAAACTTTGGGGGGGTGATTGCAATGATTGGCAGTGTGGGAGCAGGACATGGACCTGGGACTGGGGTGCAGGTAACTCTGGGGGGTCCCTAGGAGGGCAGTGACTACAGGCAGACTGAGGGAGGAGTGCGGGAGAAGTTTGATAGGAAGTTAGAAAGTCCTGAGTGAGGTCAGAGAAGAGATCGGGGTACAGCGCAACAGTCCCGGGGTGTCCCCCGCCAGTCCCGGAGCAATCCCGGGTGTTACCTCCCCGCCCCCCGCCATCTGCTGGCACTCACCTCCCCACCGTCTGGTTGGCCAGCTGCCGCATACGATTGAACTGCTTCTTCATGGTGCCGCCGGAGGTTTCCTGTCCGGGTGACTAATAATCCATAGAGGGCAGAGGAGCCGGGAGAGCCCGGGGACGAGGCCGACACACAGTGCAGAGAGCCCGGGGCTCCGGAGTGCGAGAGAGCCGGCACCTCCCAGCCACACACACAGCCCGGCCCTCCCTGTGGGCGCACCCTCCTCCTCCTCCTTCCCCGGGACCTGGTCCTCCTCCTTCCCGGACTGCACACTCCGCCTACACTCTGATGGCTGGACCCAGAAGCTGACAGTCGTCCCTCCTACTGATCGCTGGACCCAGGAGCTGACACTCACGCCTCCTACTGATTGCTGGACCCAGGAGCTGACACTCACCCCTCCTATACTCTGATTGCTGGACCCAGGAGCTGACACTCACGCCTCCTACTGATCGCTGGACCCAGGAGCTGACACTCACCCCTCCTACTGATCGCTGGATCCAGGAGCTGACACTCACCCCTCCTACTGATCGCTGGATCCAGGAGCTGACACTCACTCCTCCTACACACTGATCGCTGGATCCAGGAGCAGACACTCACACCTCCTACTGATTGCTGGACCCAGGAGCTGACACTCACCCCTCCTGCACCCTGATCGCTGGACCCAGGAGCAGACACTCACTCCTCCTACTGATCGCTGGACCCAGGAGCTGACACTCCCTCCTCCCACACACTGATCGCTGGACCCAGGAGCTGACACTCCCTCCTCCCACACACTGATCGCTGGACCCAGGAGCTGACACTCCCTCCTCCCACACACTGATCGCTGGACCCAGGAGCTGACACTCCCTCCTCCCACACACTGATCGCTGGACCCAGGAGCTGACACTCCCTCCTCCCACACACTGATCGCTGGACCCAGGAGCTGACACTCCCTCCTCCCACACACTGATCGCTGGACCCAGGAGCTGACACTCACCCCTCCTATACCCTGATCACTGGACCCAGGAGCTGACACTCACCCCTCCTACACAGTGATTGCTGGACCCAAGACCTGACAATCACCCCTCCTACAACTACTCATTGCAGGACCCAGGAGCTGACACTCACTTCTCCTTCTACCGATCCCTCCTTCCCTGACTGCACATTCCTCCTATAAACTGCACTAATGATCACTCGTCCCAGGAGCTGGCACTCGCTGCTCTCGAAATTCTGAATTTTCCACTTTCAATCCTGGTGACAACAGTCCTCAGGATAAATAAGGGGAATCTCCCCAATGGGGTCACAGACAGAAAGTAATCACTGACAAGCTTTTCTAACCCATCCATGCTCTCTCCAAACTAAAAATGGGAGTGTTTCGGCTTTAGGAACGCCAGAAGTGTGATTTCCACCGACTGATTTATATAATAAATGGAGGACATCTCGCCAATCAGCAATCAGCTTTTAGCAACCCGACTTTACGCATATTTTATTTGTTGCTGTAGGTTACCGCACATTGCATTTCATTCACATTCTTTTCACTGCCTATTTGAAGCAGCCTGTAAATTGTACTACGTATCTGAATGTGAGGTAGGCAACCTTGTCACTCCAGCTGTGGTGGCACTACAAATCCCTTCATGCCTCTGCCTCTGGGAGTCATGCCTGTGGCTGGCAGAGTCTTGCAATGCCTCATGGGACGTGTAGTTCCACAGCAGCTAGCATACCGAGGTTGCCTACCACTGATGGTGGTACTAATACCATAATGTGCGGCTCTTGTCCTCCTCCAGGGAGACCGGTGTTCTCTGCTGTCACAGGCTACCCAATATCTGCAACAGATTCCAAGTGAGAGCTACACATATGGACAATCCCTTTTATATGCCAATGAAGACAAAGACAATGTAGAGCAGGGGTGGGCAACCTCGGCCCTCCAACTGTTGTGGCACTACAAGTCCCATGAGGCATTACAAGACTGACAGTTTCAAGCATGACTCCCAGAGACATGATGGGACTTGTGCACATCGCACACAATGCAATCCCAATCTTAAACTCGCCTTTCAGGAAATGTACGGCATAATGGGATTTGTAGTTCCACCAAGGCTAGTGTGCCAAGGTTGCCTACCCCTGTTGTAGACGGTCAACTAGCTGGTGTACAGCAGACAATCCAATGTACTGTTATATGGAGGTCATAAAACATTTGTCACCCTTGAGCTGAGCTTTCTTTCTGTCTTGGGGGGGGGGTTCGCATTTTTGGGTGCATTTCAGGTTTGAGCGTTCTTTTTTTAGTATTATTTGTCGCCACTGGAAAGTTAGTTCAAGAAAATACACCAAAAAAACGTATGCTGTCCCTCGTGCGGGACCGGCATGGCGGTTGTCTGCAGGTGGACCAGAGGCTACCTGTACTCCCCGCCGGTTACTGAACCCGGAAGTGACAAGCTTTTCATCACTTCCAGTTTCAGGCTGTCATTCCTCCGGATAATGTGGCCGGAGAAGAAGCTGAGAAAGCATGACCTGTACTTCATCATCTTCAGTAGTGCCCATAGGCGTAGATCCCCAGTGTCTCCATAAAGAGGACCTATCACTTCCATGATGCTATCACATAAAGAGGCTTGTTAGCACCCTATGGAAGGTGGGGTGCTAGCCACTTCAGAAATAGGGGGCTTGTTAGCACCTTATGTGACAGCAATAAAGTTAAGTGTAAAAAAAAAAAAATTAGGTGACACATAATAATTTTAAAAAAAACCTGCACGTACACACACATACAAACGCAAACTTTATGAGCCGGTGTTCATTCGAAAGCTCCAACTCGTCGAAATCTCCAACTACCTCACTGCCGGGTACTTGCAAGTTAAAGATTTCGACCAGACGGCGTTAGACTGCAAAACACAAAGACTGACGGAGCTCTGTACAGCTTTAACAATATTCAGCAGGTGGCAAACTCAACAAGTATTCTGAAAACGCTATGCGCACATGCGCATCGCAACTGTGCAGAGCTCCGGTCTCATTCCGAGCACCGGAAGTGAGGTAGTTGGAGATCCCGATGAGTTGGAGCTTTCGATAGAACACCGGCAGGAGGAACCAGGGCGGCTGGCGGGGGAGCAAGTATTTCTGCACATGAGGAATGCTCACAGTGGCTGGGGAGGAGAAAGGAGGATTTACAATACACGGGCCACCGGAAAGGTAAGTAAATTTATCATTCTTTGGGGTAAAAGTGACCCTGTGGTCACTTTAAAGTTGAAACCCAAAAATGTAACATATTGCAGCTTGCCAGTCCATTTTTTTCCGTTTTCCCTGTTGATTCTGCCAGTATCACACATCCTCTTGTGGGGTGACAACACTTACTCATATATACAGTATATACATATATGAGAAGCGTTGTCACACAAGGGCAGGCCGCGATAGAGGAACACCTCTACCCTCTCCTCATTGCCTTAACAGAAGTGGTGGGTGCTCTGTAGTTCACAGGTAAAGCGGGCTATTCTGATTTCAGAGAGCGCAGGAAGTTAGGAGCTCTCTAGATTTCTGGCAGGATCTACAGTTATTTATGTTGCACTTATAAAGCAGATATAAAACCCTTTCCATTGTAGACCAAAAGGGAGCAAATAAGAGAAGTCCATTGTCGGGTTTTACTTACACTTGAAGTCAAGGTATGTTTATAGCCCAGTGATTATACTGGGCTATACTGGGACTGTTTGGAGGTTTACAATACACGTCATATACATTCTTTGCTTCTCCCAGGTTGTCTCTTTTATGACAAGGAGGATCAACAAAGCTAATGCTGCTGTATAGAAGAGGCATTAGTTATGTTTAACCCCTTCCCGCCGGCTATACGTACTGTATATGTGGCAGTAAGGTGGTGGGCCTCATTCCGTGCTGCCACATGTATGGTTATTTACCCGACGCTACCACTGTGACTTTGTGTTGTCACCAATGACTCCCGGTCAGGGCCGTACCTATAATGAGGCTGTTGCCTCAGGTGGCATCTCTTTGGGTCCCATGGGAGCAGCAGGCAGAGCGGCATGGCTACTGGGCAATGTTTGCAGTGTGCCTGCCGCCCCCATTCAAGTCAGAGCACCCCGAGTTGCTAACAGCTCGGTGAACAGATATGTAAGGGTGATACACATTTCCCCGCCCAGCTTTTAGCCATCTAGGACGCTCTGGATGGCATCCCACCCAGCTCCTGGCAACCAATGATGTCAGTAAGCTGGGCATAGATGCCGACTAGAGCCAGAGATGGCCCCCTGTTAACATGCAGCACCATGGCCCTCCTGAACATGCAAAACCAGGCAGTGAATAGCATAGGGACACCCCTGCTCCTGGGCACAGAGCAATGGTTAGGGGCCGGTAGGACAGGCTCCTGATGACTAGAGATGAGCTCAGGTTCAGTCCCAACTTGAGCTCCTGCGAACAAGGACGTACCCCGAGGCCACCGGGCCCAATCAACTGCATGTAAACAAAGGGGTGGGATGCTTGTGTTGACATAATTTACCTTATATGGCTACATGGCCATATTAGGTCAATATCATTGACCAATTATAGCTATGTGGCCATATAAGGTCAATGATGTCACTGCATCCCGCCCCTTTGTTTATGTGCAGGGGAATTCCCTATCTGCAGCTGATTGGGTGGTAGTGGAAGGAGATTCTATCTGTGTTCGGAGGAGCTCAGGTTCGGTCCAAACCTGAGCTCATACCTACTGATCACTGTGACAGCCAACCACATCGATCACATGATTGGGGAACCCGTGTGACGGATCTGGCTTTACGATTTCTTCAAGGGCCAGCAAGAAGGGGTTAAACTGAAAGTGTACCTGTCACATACAAACAAATATAGAGGGAAATTCATCCAACGGGAGCAGACAGAATCAGTAGCAGCTGTGCACGGCAACCAATCAGCTTCTCTCTTTCATTTTCAAAGCTTAACTGAACAAACTGAAGAGAGAAGCTGATTGGTTGCCATGGGGAACTGTTCCAGATTTTGTCTGCTCCAGCTTTGATAAATTCCGCCCTATAGTGTTTTTGTGAGATGAAGCAGTATTTATTAAAGCCAGGCTTTTTAGTTTTGGATAGACTAAGAAGTAAATACTTGTGACCCCGTTGGGAAGATTGCAGGACAGGAAATGAGCAGAGCGTTTGTCTGTGACCGGAAGACGCAAATAATCAGCCCAGCGATAGGCCCCACTAGATGGAAACAAGGAATTTCCTATGCTTCTCAGCTCCATCTAGTGGC